AGGAGACATGACCATGGAAGAAAAACTGGAATGATGCAATGTGAGGAGGACTCAACCCACCACTGCTGGCTTTGAGGAAAGAAGGGGGCCATGGGTCAAGGAATACAAGCAGCATCTAGCAGATGGAAAAGGCAAGGAATTTTATTGTCTCACAGTCTAGTAGGTTAGAAGTCCAAATTCAGGGGAAGGCTTTCTCTCTCTGTAGGCTCTGGAGGAAGGTCCTTGTCATCAATCTTCCTCTGGACTAGGAGCTTCTAAGCATAGGGACCCCGGGTCCAAAGGATGCACTATTCTCCTGGAACTACTTTTTTTTTAAATTGTACTTTAGATGAAGGTTTACAGAACAAATAGTTTCTCATTAAACAGTTAGTACACCTACTGTTTTATGACAATGGTTACCAACCCCCATGACATGTCAACACTGTCCCTTCTCAACCTTGGGTTCCCTATTACCAGCTTTCCTGTCCTCTCCTGCCTTCTAGTCCTTGTCCCTGGACTGTTGTGCCCCATTAGTCTCGTTTTGTTTTATGGGGCTGTCTAATTTTGGCTCAGTGGTGAACCTCGGGAGTTACTTCATTACTGAGCTAAAAGGGTGTCCAGGGGCCATACTCCGGAGGTTTCTTCAGTCTCTGACAGGCCAGTAAATATGGTCTTTTTTTGTGAGTTAGAATTTTGTTCTACTTTTTTCTCCAGCTCTGTCCAGGACCCTCTGCTGTGATCCCTGTCAGAGCAGTCATTGGTGGTAGCTGGGCACCATCTAGTTGTACTAGACTCAGTCTGGTAGAGGCCGTGGTAGTTGCGGTCCATTAGTCCTTTGGATTAATCTTTTCCTTGTAATCTGTTTTCTTCATTCTCCCTTGCTCCCAAAGGGGTGAGACCAGTGGAGTGTCTTAGATGGCTACGCAAAGGCTTTTAAGACCCCAAATGCTACTCACCAAGGTAGAATGTAGAACATTTTCTTTATAAACTGTGTTATGCCAATTGAGCTAGATGTTCCCCAAGACCATGGTCCCCACAGCCCTCTGCCCAGCAATTCAGTCCCCATGGAGTTTGGATATGTCTATGGAGCTTCCGTGACCTTTCCTTGTACAAATTGTGCTGACTTCCTGGCACTACTTTCTTGATGGTATGAAGTCCCCATGTCTCTCTGCTCACTTCTCTCTTTTTTTTCTCAAAAAAGATTGGCTTAAGACACAATCTAATCCTATAGATGGAGTCCTGCCTCATTAACATAATTGCCAATAATCCCATTTCATTCATATCATAGAGATAAGATTTACAACACATAGGAAAATCACATCAGATGACAAAATAGTGGATAATCACAAAATACTGGGAATCATGGCCTAGCCAAGTTGACAGATATTTTGGGGGGAAACAATTCAATCCATGACATGTATCAATTTTAATTTCTTATTTTTGATAGCAGGGAGCCCTGGTGGCACAGTGGTTAAAGCACTCGGCTACTAACCAAAAGGTCAGTGGTCCAAACCCGCCAGCTGCTCCACAGGAAAAGATGTGCCAGTCTGCTCCGGTAAGGATTACAGCCTTGATACAATTTTGCAACAACAGTAAAACCAACCAAAAAATATGTATAGTTAAGTAGATAGATATGCATACATGTATGTATGTAGAAAGGTATGTGCAAGCAAATGCTTGTGTATATATAGGTGTATCTGTAAGCATATGTATGTACATGTTTGTGTGTGCTGCATATATATCCATATATATAATAAAGCACATAGGGAGTACAGTTATGGAAGCTTCCTAGACATATTCGAACAACTCAGCGGAATGGTTTACTGCGTTAAAAAGCCTGGGACCATAGTCTCGGGGGATAATGTTGTCAATTGACATAACATAGTTCACAAAGATAATGTTCTACATTCTACTTTGGTGAGTAGCATCTGGGGTCTTAAAAGCTTTTGAGCAGCCATCTAAGATACAACTATTGGTCTCTACTCATGGGGCAAAAGAGAATGAAGGAAATCAAGGGCTCAAAGAAGAAACTAGTCCATAAGACTAATACTCCACATAAACCTCAGCCTCTTCTAACATGAGACCAGAAGAACTAGATGGTGTCCAGCTACCACAACCAACCACTCTGACTGGGACATAACAGAATAGAATGGGAGAAAAATATAAGAAACTCAAAATCCTAAAGAAGGCCAGACCTACTGGACTGATAAAGACTAGAAGAAGCCCCAAGACTATCACCCTAAGATAACCTTTGACCTTGGAATTAAAGCTATTTCTGCAGGTCACCTATCACCAAATAATAGATTGGCTTATAAAATAAACAATACCACCTATGAGTTACCTGCTCCTTTAAACAATTACCTATATGAGACCAAAGGGTCAACATTTATCCAAAAGCAAAGACGAGAAGGCAAGGAGGGGAAGGGAAACTACATCAGTGGAAAGAGAACAAACAGAATGGAAATAATGAGAATGCTGACACATTATAAAAACTGTAATGAATGGCATGGAATAATCTATATAAAAATTGTTAAAGGGGAACCTAATCTGCTATATAAACTTTCATCTAAAACACAATAAAATATATATTTTTTAAAAAGATTACAACCTTGAAAACCCTCTGGGGCAGTTCTACTCTGTCCAATAGGAGAGCTATGAGTCAGAATCGACTTGATAGCAATGAGTTTAAACAATTATCTATCCTATATGAGTAATAACTTACCCCATGTGTGTCAAAGCAGAACTGTGCTCCATAGGGTTTTCAATGGTTAATTTTTCAGAAGTACATTGCCAGGGCTTTCTTTTGAGGCGCCTCAGGGTGGACTCGAAGCTCCAACCTTTTGGTTAGCAGCTAAGTGCATTAACCATTTGTACCACCAGGAATTCCAATGAGTAATAACAAAAAAAAAAAAACAACCAAACCCACTGCTGTTGAGGCTATTCTGACTCATAGCGAATGTGTAGGGCAGAGAAGAACTACCCCAAAGGGTTTCCAAGAATGTAAATCTTTACGGAGGTAGACTGCCACATCTTTCTCCCGCCCAGTGAGTAACAGAGAATGTGAATTTAGGTAGTAACTCAGAGAGAGGTCAATATGCAGACAGTGCAGCTGCTGTTCCCACTCCAATTTCAATGAGACAATTTCGGGCCATGGGAGAGTCTGAGCCTCATTCTCATCCTAAGCAAAGAGCCTGGCAAGAATAGATATTTGGAGCCAAGGCCCCCAGTGAGTCATATCTCCAATACCAATAAAACAAACAAACAAAAATGGGGAGAAACGAAAAGTGGGCCTGGGCAGAGATTAGAAAATTTATAGGAAAGAAGGCAAACTGGATGAGGCAAAAAGCTCTTCAGTGAGCCCAGATAAACTGAGACTTTGCATATTTGTGGATCTACTTAGGAATACCCTGTGAGTTTTAACACTTGGCTCCCCAGCTATGAGTGGTGCAGCCCTCATTCCACAGAAACAAATCAGGTCTTCTTCTAAAAGCCACACTACCCAATGATACTTAAGTATAACACCATTTGAGTATGCCAGAGTGAGTGTCATGGCCAAGAACTAAACCAGGGCTACCCGAAGCCAAAGCCTAAGTTGTTCATCAAATGCTATATTGTCTCTATCTCAATAAATTAAGTACATATCTTGTGGGAAGTCTTTACTGGAATAGGCTCAGATTTAACTTCAATTTTGTTAGAAAAATGGTACAAAGATAATTTAGATTACAGACAGTCACAGACACGTTGGGAGAGCACTGCTTGTTAGCTTATACCATATAATTTCCCTGAAACTGTGATAATATCTATAAAACCAAAAAGCAAACCCATGGCCATCAAGTCAATTCAGACTCATAGTGACCCTATAGGGCAGAGCAGAACTGCTCCACAGAGTTTCCAAAGCTGTAATCTTTACGGAAGCAGACTGCTTCATCTTTTTCCCATGGAATGGCTGGTGGGTTCGAACTGCCGACCTTTTGGCTAGCAACCAAGTGCTTAACCACTGTACCACCAGGGCTCTTCTTATCGTCTATAGTAATCTACAGTACAGCATTTTGGGTGGGAGAGAACAGCTGAACCTACATCACTCTAAGAATCTTCTCATCAGTACATCTGCCTCAAAGAATAAATAAAAAAGTTTTACATCCCCATTTTCTAGGCAACTGAAAATATTTCACCTGTCTGCCAAAAGCCTTCATTAACTGTGCAAATCAATAAACAGGTTTATTCGTCACCGTTTTTCATCAATAAAAAGGGGACACGGGTGTATTGCTCTGAAACTCCTTGTAAAGTGACAGCATAATAAAATGCATTTATAAAGTCAGCACTGGAACTCTGAAAAGACAATACAGTTTGCAGATGTATCAAAATATCACCAAAATAACTTAACATTAGCTTAGATCAAAATCATTCCCAAATTACAGTTTATATGAAATGATTCTGTAAAGTGATTTGCTTTGTACTAAGCCATGCCTATATCATCAACTCCTAATTTTCTATGCCACAAGAGCCCAAAATAACAGCTAATTTGAAATGGAGTTAAATTTTTTTTTTTTTAAATTTTATTATTATACAAAAATATAGATATTTCTGGCAATTCACAATACTACATGTTTCTAATATTATGTTTAAGCATTTGATACTGAAGAAACTTGCTGTTCAACTGTTTCTTTGCTATGTAACCCTGATGCAAATAATACCAGTCTATAGAAGAACTGTCTGCTCACTTAAAATTACTAATTCTTACTTTTGTAAGAGCAAGGTAGTAATTATTTATCTTGGTTATTTTAACAAGATATAGTATAAACTTGCCTAATCAGTCACCAAATATTAACTGACCAGGTACTAAGGACTAAACATTGCTTAAGTCAAAAAATACTTGGAAATGAAGAAAATCAGTGGTAAATCTACTAAAAATACTTAAAGTGAACTGATGCTACCAAAATGAGACTGGAAAAATTATTAATAATAACTTTAAAAATATTATTAAAATGCCTAGCAACTTCTTGGTATTTTTAAATACTCACTTGTAGCAGGTAGGAAGTGCCTGGATCTAACAAACTTATGGCTTCATTCTGCGTCGTGTTCTGTTGCGTAATTGCATCTTCTCGTTTCCGCTCTTTCTGCCCTGCTTCATCATCTTCATATTCATCCAAGCACTGAAAGAAAGAAGTGTCCATTTTATTTGCACATATAATTAATAGAGTATTTTGATAGTATGTGAAGATATAATTGATAGCAGTAAAGAAATATTATTTGAGCACTCAGAAACTAGTTTACACAATAAAGGTGTTACTTTAAGCAATAGCGACCCTATAGGACAGAGCAGCACTGCCCCATAGAGTTTCCAAGGGGCACCTGGTGGATTCCAACTGCCGACCTTTGGTTAGCAGCTGTAGCATTTAACCACTACACCACCAGGGTTTCCCCTTTAAGCAATATGTACAATTCATTCCTGTAAACTAAATCATTTTAAATTCACTAGGGAAAATGTCAAAGGAACCCAATTATCTGCTTAAAATCTGCACCTCCACATTCACACTCCTGCCAACTTATCTTTTCTCTCAGCTTTAACGACCAGTAACAGGGTTTTCTTAAAGGGAGGGTTCAATCATTCTTCATCATTCATTCACCAAGTAAACTGATTGTGTCTACCTTAAAAAAAGCACTTTGTGGAGGGTGATAAAAGGTACACTACAGACATGGAATTTACAAAGCCTATTAGGGAAGATTAAGACATGTATAATGAAGCATTGGTAGTTCAATGGTAGAATTCTTGCCTTCCGTGCAGGAGACCCAGGTTCGATTCCCAGCCAATGCACCTCAAGCACAGCCACTACCTGTCTGCCAGCGGAGCTTGGTGTGTTGCTATGATGCTGAACAGGCTTCAGCAGAGCTTCCAGACTAAGATGGACTAGGAAGAAAGGCTTGGTGATCTAATTCTAAAAAATCAGCCAATAAAAGCTCTATGGATCACAACGGTCTGATCCATTGTGCATGGGGTCACCAGGAGTCAGAAGCCAACGACAGCTAACAATATCAATAAGACATGTATATAGATAACTTAGTGATAAAGGCCATTTTCTAACTTGATAGTTCCTGTGAGAAGACAGGAAGAAGAGGTTATAATTTAAAGGACAGGTATAATTTGGACTTGCAGAAATAGAGAAATAAGAATTTCAGATGGTAGAAACAGCGAGTAGAAAAGCTTACAGAAGATGTTGTTGAAAAGCTGAATCAACCCCAGTTAATTGTCTATCTCTAGGCTTTTCATATGAAAAAATAAAAATAAAACTCTATCCAGGAAACCATTTCAGGATGGGTTATCTGTTCCTTACAGCTAAACACATTCCTAACCAATGCACTGCCCTAGCTGTAGCGATTCAAACCGGTTTTTCCCGGTTCAGTCATGGCCAATGATGCAAAAGCAGAAAAGACTCGAATTTTTACTACTTGGGTGAGTCAGAATGATAACCAGAATGGGAAGAATTACAGGTTGAAGCTCTGGAATGGGAGATTTGGAAGAGGTGTGGTTAGCTGTTTCAGACTCCAATGTTACCAGCTTGAAGCTAGAATTCTTAAGTCACGGAGTAGCACAGATGGAAGGTGAAAGTTGAGACAGGTAGCAGTGAACTCCCAGAGCACTGGGATGTTATTTTATTTTTATATTCATTTTTGAGTCCTAGTCCCTCATCACTAATGTTCTCTCCTCCCACTTTCTCAATAAACGTAGACCACCTTAAAAGTATACTTAAAAAAACAAACAAACAAAAAAAAAACTCAGTGAAGGTTTGATAAATGAATGGATGAGTTACCAAGATGAGACAAATCAGGAAGATGGACCATGGCACCTCAAGTTGAAATTCTAATTGCTCTTTGCCATGGCAACACTATTACGCACTGACCTAAGACCCTATTCATCATACATACTATCCCTCTGTTGAGTGTACCTTACATCCTCAGCAGCTTTTAGAACAGGGATTAGCTGATCAATCACAACTTTCCTCCAAAGTTCTGCCAACAACTAGTACAGTTCTTTTAGCCACAAGCATCTTACAAATTCCTTAAGCTATCTTATATAACTGGGATAAATACAACTGGAGGAACAATTTGGTGGAAATGGTGAGAAATAAAAGGATGACAGCAAAAAGAATTGAGTTAATGAATAAAGAGGGTAAAGACATTTTCTAGTTCTATTCCTTGCAATGATGAATAATTCTGTAAGTACACAGTTGACACTTTTTAGGGTGGGGGAGATACATAAGTACTAGCAGAAGAATGTCAAAGAGAACCCCCCACCAAAAATTTCTTTTAAGTTTCTTTCTATAGATTATAAGCTTTTTACCTGGAAGAGAAAAAATAAAGAAAATAGATACTGATTTTATATATATACCTATGTCAATGATGAGGAAATGAATCCCCTTCCCAACTCTCATTTCTGGATAAATATACACATATAAAAGTTACTTTTACATGGGTTAGTGAGGAAGTTGTATGAGAACTGGATTAACAATTATCTGAAATTCAAACAAAAAAATATGATTTTATGAAACGGTATCTCTTAAACTGAGATAACATTGAGCATTACTGACTCTCCTCAAGTTCTTTGCCTTTCCCCAAGCTATTATTTTATAAGATGTACTTTAGAGAGCTAATATTTTAGTAAAACCTCTGAACAAAAAAATATATAATTATCACTGCTAGTAACAAACTACTAACACTAAAAGAAAAAAAAGAAGCTGTAACGTGTTCTATAAAAAAGCCAATTACTCACAGACTACAGGCTGCAGACTTGAAAAAGAGAAGTAACCAAATAAGAAAGGAATTTAGGTTAATTTATTTTTATTTTTAAGTCCTTAGAGTAAGGATTAAAAAAACTATAAATGAAAGGAATAGAAAATTCAAAAACAGACTAAATCACATGGACAAATTGAGTTTACAATAAAAATGATATCTCATACCAGTGGGAAAAGATGAACTTTTTAATATGTGGTTTGGGGATAACTGGATAACTGCATTGAAAAAGGTAAGACTGGATTCATTCCACACACCACAGACCAGGATAAATTTCAATTCATCAAAGATTTAAAGGTAAAAATCAAAATGATAAGCCAAAAAAACCACTGTTGTCAAGCTGATTCTGACTCCTAGTGACCCTACAGGACACAGCAGAACTGACCCCACTGGGTTCCCAAGGCTGTAATCTTTGTGGAAGCAGACTGCTACATCTTTCTCCCATAGAGTGGTTGGTGGGTTCAAACCACTGACCTTTTGGTTAGCAGCTGAGTGCCTTAACTACTGTGCCACCAGGGCTCCTTAAACTGACAACTACTACTAAAAAAAAATCTTGGGTGAATTCCTCTAGGGCCTGGAAATGGGAAAAAAAGTTGTTTTTTCCTAATTATGACTCGAAATTCAGAAGTAAAAAGAGAAAATATATATTTGATTACATAAAAATATAAAATAATTTGCATGGTGAAAAACACCATAAGCAGCATAACATCCCAAATTTACAAAGAACTGCTTAAAAAGTAGAGAAAAAAATAAACCTGTAGAAACTTACAGAAAAGGGAACTAGATCTAACACAGTTCTCAGAAGAAACAGAAACAACTCTTACCAGTTGCTGTTGAGTCAATTAAGACTCATGACAACCCCATGTGTTTCAGAGCAGAACTGTACTCCATAGGGTTTTTAATGGCTGATTTTTTGGAAGTAGACTGCCAGGACTTTCTTCCGAGGTGCCCCTGGGAAGACATGAATCTCTAGTCTTTTGGTTAACAGCTATGTGTGTTAACGATTTGCACCACCCAGGGACTCCTAACCACATTAAAAGATGCTCAACCTACAAAGATGCTGTTGTTAAGTGCTATCAAACTGATTCTGACTCACAGTGACCCCATAGGGTTTCCCAGGCTGTAATCTTTAGGGAAACAGATTGCCAAGTCTTTTCCCCATGGAGCTGCTGGGTGGGTTTGAACCACTAAACTCTCAGTTAGAAGCAGTGTGCTTAACCATTGTGCAATCAGGGCTGTTAACCACATGAAAAGATGCTACAACTATACTGAAATACTTTTTTTTACCTAATATGTTGGTAAAAAGCACAAAAGTATGAAAATCCTATTTTGGGAAAACAGGTGCTAGAAGGAATGCAAAATGGTACAAACCCTATGGAAAGGCATTTGGCAATACCTACCAAACTGACATATTCATTTACCCAAAACTTCCATCTTAAAAAGCTAGAAAAAGGAGAGAAAATAAAGCCCCAAGTAAACAGAAAGAGGGGGGAAAAAAAGAGTGAAAAAAATCAATGAAACAGAAAGCGGAAAAATAGAGGAAACAAATTAACGAAATCAAAAGTGGGTTCTTTGACATGATCAATAAAATTACAAAACCTCTAGCCAGTCTGATCAGAAAGTAAAAAATGAAAGACAAAAATTACTGTCATGTGTGAAAGCAGCAGTATCACTAGAGATTCTACCAAGATCAAAAGGATAGTTAGGAAATACTATGAAAAACTCTGTGCCAATAAATGTGCAACTTTGATAGAACTGACAAATTCTTTGAAAAACAACCAAAATTCACTGAAGCATAGATAACCTGAATAGTCTTATATTTATTAAAGAAATTAAATTTGTTTAAAGGTCTTGCTACAAATAAAATTTCAGATCAGATTGTTTGATTGGTAAATTCTACCAAACATTTGAAGAAGAAATACCATCTGTATACAAACTCTTCCAGAAGGAAGAATCACTTTTCATCTTACTTTGTTGCCAGCATTACTCTGATCCCAAAACCAGGGGATGGGATGCATTTAAAATAAACAAATAAAAACTACAGACCAATATATCTGGTGAAGATAAACACAAAAATCTTAATGGCATTTTACCAAAACAAATTCAAAGTACAAAAGTATAAAAGAAGGATAATTGTGACCAAAGTGAGGTCTATCACAGTAAAACATGGCTGAACTAACATTCAAAAGTCAGTGCAACTCACCATATTCACCGAATAAAGGAGAAAAATATGTATGATCATCAACATATTAATAAGAAACATGCCACAGTTAACACACTCTCATGATAAAAACTTTTAGCAAACTTAGTAGGGAATGTTCTCAGTTTAGATACAAAAGCAATACAAAACAATTATATTTTTATA